AATAGACTAATGCAAACAACATCATGTATATGGACACTGCTGTTTTTGTGATTGCAAGTGTGGATTTAGTGTATGTAAATGTAGGAAATGTTGCATAAAACAATACTGAAAACAAATAGACAATTTATAACATACACTTGTAATGTGTAGGGTATTATTTTATGCATGTGTGTTGTGTATTTACAGCTTCAAGGAACTGCTTGACTTGTTTGTCTTGATTTTCAACATCAGCCACAACCTTGTGCCTCCCAATAGATGCAATGAGTGTTGCCTCCTGTTCCAATAACATACACAATGCTGCCTTCCTCTCTGGACCAGCTGTTGTATTATTAATCCTTTCCAATTCATCCTTACGCCACACTGGAATAGATTAAGAGAGAAGAGTGGAAAAAAGAGAGAGGGAGGAATCAAAAAGTGCAATTAGAAGAAAGTATATTTTGGCAATTGTACAAGCATTTGTTAAGTAAAACAGAGAAAAGAATAACACATAGCTACTATGTAAACCCTAATACATTAAGATGATGTGTACATTGTAGATTGTACATAACAGTGAGGATTACTTTCAAGTGCATGGTAGAGCAGATCAAAGTCTTTCTTTGTCCTTGGATTCATGCGTCTTTCAAACTCAGCCTTCCTCCTTGCCTCTCTCTCCCTCTGCTTCCTAAGAGCTTCCTATACACAATAGTATAATCATTATACATACATGTACATGTAGACACCATTAGAAGTGGTTCTTTACTTACCTCTCTCTCCCATAATTCTCTCATTAGTTTCTCTTCTCTCACTGCATTAACATATTTAGTAGCTAGCCAGCGCCTCCAATGACTCTGAAGTATTATAATCTAATAAAAGAAGAAAAGAGAAGTGTTAATAGATAAAAGTACACATATATCACCTTTTTCAATATCTTTCCATGATATTCATCAGCAGTTTCATAAGGTCCAGGTATCTTTATTTTATCAGTGACACTAGTAATGTAACAACCAGTTTGATTCTAGACAGACATAATGATAATAATTATAAATGTAGTTATACATGTACCACACATGTATGTTTGTATGATTATTGCCTTACCATTTGTGTTGCTGCATCTACCATTACTTGTTGGTAGCAATTACGTGTGAATACAGTCTGAGTGTCACGCTCAAACATTGCAATCTGTCATTATAATCAATCATTAATAATGTTTCTATATTAAAGGGGCTAACCCCAGTATCTGGTTTCCTCCTGGGTAGTGTTTGTGCACTGGCATGATGGTACTCCTGTCCTGTCTGCTTGTCTCTGTATCCTCCAAGAAATGGCTTCTTTATCCTTGCCTTCTCCATCTTTACTAATAACTCCTTCATCTCTTGAGCTATTCAAGAAAAGAAAAAGTAGTATATTACATAATCTACTACACATAATCTACACATAATCTGATATGATGACCTAAAGTTTACAGTTTTCATGTCTCATGCATGTCCTCAATGTAACCTTAAAACCTAGTGATATTTTCACCATGTCCATACACTATGCATAAACAAGTCAGGGGCATTACGCTATGTGGGTTCATTATAGGAAAAGAATCATTATTGTTTCCATTACAGTACAAGTATAAACATTTACCTATACCAAATGATGCAGACTAATAACAATAATAATATGTGTTTATTGTTTACGTGAAAGAGAGTTGGGAGAGTTTCCCTCATTATTCAATAATGGAAATGTACACATGTACATGTACATGTACGTTCATTACCTAATCTAACTTGAACTGTAAATATCCTTTCATCATATCCTAGCTCTTCTTCCTCTCTCTCTTTCTCTTTCTTTAATTTCTCCTCCTCCTCCTCCTCCTTACTGACTGGCAGTGCTAATGGAGTCAGTATCTTTACTTGGAGTTCAATGGAGGATCCAGCCACAACACCAAACTGATCAACTGTGGCATTGTTTGATAGTGTTTCACCTTTTAAAGAGAGAGAAGAGAAGATTAAAGTGACATAAATTGACTCCAAAATATGCCCAAATTTCATTATCATTATGTCATTAATGCTTTGAATTGATTCCAAGTTATGGGTCCCTGACTACATGTATATTAGTAACGCAATAGCATTACTAAGTAGGATTCACCCCCAAACAAAATGGCTGCCACAACTTTTGCAGTCTTGCTATACCGGGAATATATCCATGCATGTGTTTCAAATTACATGTACATGTACATTACCATCAAGTGATAGAATAAAGGTGTCCGATGAGTTTCCAAATTTTTGAGAAAGGTATTCCTTTAACTTTTGAACTGAGTCTGAGAGACTGAAAAGATCTTTCACATCTTCACTGGAATTCTCAATTGCAAACACAACTACATGTATATGCATGTAAAAGACTAATTTTCAATCCAGATTTATACCTTCTACTTTGTCTTCAGTGCTTTCTCCTTCTTCCTGAGGTTCTGCTGAAGGTACAGAAGCTTCTACTGTAGCCATTTTCACAATCTCGTGCTAGGCAACTCAAACCACC